CCTCGTGAAAATTTTGGCGGGTAAACTATTAACTCGGGAATCACGGAAAGATATTCATCCTTCAAATTTCGAATTCAGCTTTCATGCAGTGGTGCGTCAAATTTTTAACTGTTTTCCAATGTTTGAACTCTTTTTGCATAGACTAAAGTGCAAAGCAGTGAAAATCATTAATAGGCAATCGTTCGATGGGCTGAATTGCACAAAACACATGATCGCACGGCTAGTCTGGGGCGCGCTGCTATTTATTGTTAATTTTCTCGCCATCTCTCATAACCAAAATCTCTGTCCAGCTGCCTGCAGTTTATTTTCACAAATTACAAATTTTTTAGCGCTTTTGGTACTTTTTTTTTTGTATAAAAGCAATTTTTCAGGATAAACGCTTTGAATTACGTCCTTCAAGGAAACGAAGTTGGTGTTACAACATTGCGCGCATCTGCTCTTCGTGCAAATGGACGTTTGCTACAGAGTAAATCACATGGCGTGCAAGTTTTCGCGCAGCTTCAGCTACAGCCAAAACTTGTTACACTGATCCCCGATGCCGTTTTCCAGGTTTTATTTTCTCTGGCATTCATCAGTTCTTTGCACAACTTCTCACGTACAATCCTATTTTGCATGGTACGACATAATGCGGTACAGCCGTCGAATTCGATAAAAAACATGAATTTCAGTTGGAGGTATTTGGTGGTCCTCAGCCATTACCGCCTGTACATTATCGCCTAAACGACACTTCGATAGCTGCTATTGCACAAAATGGTTTAATAACGAGTAAGAAAATTGGGTACACAAAGGTTGTTGGATCGGTTGGCTTGGATGGTAATGCATCTATTGAGGTGGGTACTTCGCCAGTAAGGAAATACCTGTTAAGCTCTTTTTGATCGCTATAAATTTAATTGTCTTTTTAGCAAATTTGTTGATTTTTATGATAAATTCTTTTTTTTTTTCATTATAAATAATATCGTAGCCAGATTTTATTATCTGCAGGATTATGCTATTGTAAAAACCGTTACGCTGGCTGGCATACGCATTCGAATTTCCACAACACGCATCGAAGTGGGTGAGAAGGCATGGGCCCGTGTGGATGGCCTTGCTCACGATGAGACGCCATTCTCGTTCGGTGGAGCTTTGTATCCGCTCAAGTTTTCCTGGTCAACAACCACACCTGGCATTATTCAAATCGCATCACCGCTCGATGTACATATTATTACTTTTTATGCGTTTTGTGCTGTGTAACAGCAGTACAAAACGCATATTGTTACGGGGTTGTCT